CACTGATATTCCCTTATCACAGGCATCTCGAATTTCCTGTTTAATGCCATTCTCGACATCGCCACTGCAGTTTGGGGGTCTGTATATGATACCTACTAATGTTTTTTCCCCTTGGTATTTCTCAACTCAACCTATGCAGACTTCACATTGTTGGAGCTAATATCCTTTCTCACTATTGTGTTAATTTCCTCTTTTAAACAGCAATGCTACACTGCCACCTTTTCCTTTTTGCATGTCCTTCCTAAATATTGAATACCCTGGGACATTCAGTTCCCATCTCCGGTCACCCTGCAGCCATGTCTCCATAATCCCAAATGTATTGTACCCGTTTACATCTATCTGCATGATTAGTTCATCCACTTTATTGCAGATGCTCCCAGCATTAAGGCACAAAGCCTTTAAGCTTGTCCTTCTGACAGTGTTTGCCGCCTCCTTATTTTTTTCAATAGCCCTGTTTGAATCTTGTCCTTGGCTTCTCAGCCTATCACTCTTCTTATTCCCTTTTCTAGCTTTTGTTTTTGTCCTTGCTGCCTTCTTCTCTAACTCTTTACATAGGTTCCCATCCCCCTGGCATATTAGTTTAAACCCTCCCTAACTGCTGTAGCAAACACTCCCCCTAGGACATCAGTCCTAAAACACCAACTACCTACAAAACAGATCGCTTTTTTAGGTAACCTTCATGTCATTAGGTTCCCCAAGAGACCTGTCCTTCCAATGAGATAGCAAAAACTGCAGGTGCTGGAGTCCGAGACGACAAAGTGTGGAGCTGGAGGAACACAGCAGGCCAGGCGGCATCAGAGGAGCAGGAAAGTTCACATTTCAGATTGGGTCCCTTCTTCGGAAATAGGGAGGGGGAGGGGAGCTCAGCAATAAATAGAGAGAGGAGGGGTGGGGGTGGGGCTGGGGCTGGGGAAGGTGGGTGGGATGGTGATAGGTGAGTGCATGTAGGCAGTGGTCAGGATTGGTCAGTGAGGTGGGAGTGGCGGATCGGTGGGAGAGAAGATGGACAGGTTGTGTTGAGCTCCCTTCCCCCTCCCCATTTCTGAAGAGGGGTCCCGACCCGAAACGTCAACTTTCCTGTTCCTCTGATACTGCCTGGCCTGCTGTGTTCCTCACTTTGTTATCTCTGTCCTTTCAATGACTTGTCCTGCATTTGTAGTGCTTCTCAATGGAGTTCTGCAGATCTATATGCCTCTTCATTTAGCAGCATTCAGAGAGAACTGAAACAGAGACATTAATAAATCACTGTTTATTTTTCTTGTCTGATTGATAAAATGGCCCTTCAGCTTCCAGGTTACTAGAAACCTGGCAACTGAACTATATTCTGCTAAACATAGTTGTGATCTGAACAAAACATGACTCTTATCTAACAAAAAATATGATTATATCTAATCGAGCATGAAAGAATCAGATATCAAAGACATCAACCAAGTGAAGTCTATACTCATGCTTTACTGTAATTGTAACACAGTTCAGTAATATGTGGCTTTGAAAATGCTGGCATCAATTCAGTACATGTCTGCGGTTGATTCACCCGTGTGGAAAATTGCAAGGATATTGGATATCACTGATTTAGAAGTAGCCTATTTAGCACATTACATCTCTGCTAGCTTATCTGGAAATTCCAAATCTAATCCCATTGTTTTCATGTATCATCTGGTTCAAATATTCAGGAAGTTTGTGGTGTGCTGGTAATTTTTCTGAACTAGTAATCCAGAGGCTTGGGCTAATGTCCTCGGGGCATGGATTGAAATTCATCTATGTCAACTGGTGAGGTTTAAAATCAAATAATAAATCTGGAATTCAAAGCTAGTTACAGTAATGGTGGCAACTATCATCAACAGTTGCCAAACATCCTTTAGGGAAGGAAATCTGCCATCTTTACCTGGTCCGGCCTAAACATGTCTTCAGGCCCACAGCAATGTGGTTGATTTTTGTCTCCCCTCCAGAATGGCTTAGCAAGCCACACAGTTCAAGGGTAATTGGTGATGGGCAACAAATGGCAATTGTTGCCGATGACAACCATATTCCGTGAAAGAATTTAGAAAAAACTGTCCCTTAAATTACCTTGTGTTTCTACCTCAACAACTGCCTTTAACAAAGAATTCAATGTTCCAACAAACCTTTGCACAGGCCAATTTTTCCTGAGCTCAAAGCCAAAATTTAAGTTGAATAACTCTCGAGACCAATGTGCTTATCCTTGTACTTTACTGTTGGTCTTTTTAATAAAACGCCATTTCTAAGAACCTCAAACATTTTCTGCTGTAGTAGAAACAGGTTCAGTATCAAGTTTCTTATTCTTGACATTATTTAAGTGAATTTATAATATATTTTCTAAATGCCTCTAACATCCTTTTTATAAAAGGTGCCCAAAGCCACACTTAGTACTTTAACTGTAGCTAAGGCAACGTTTTGTACAAAACTATAACTTATTCTTTGCTTTTGTAACAGTTAATTAAAAACCTCATTTACAGTTGACCTTTCTAACGTCTTTATTTACTTTCACTTGTATTTTAGGGAAAGATATATTTCAGATCTCAGTTCTCCAAAAACATTTGCTTCACGCTTGCCCATATTAAATTGTACCTTCTATCCATGTCTAATGTACTGCATCTACAACATTCCCTTATTGTATTACAGTGTCTGTTATTATAAGGAATTTCGTTTTCACCCACTTTTTACCTGAGAATTATATTTACTTTGTACTAGAACATAGAACAGTATAGCACAGTACAGGCCCTTTGGCCCACGATGTTGTGCCAAACTTTTACCCTAAACCTAAGGTCTATCTAACTTCCACCTCTACCTTGTACTATCATCCATATGCCTATCCAATAGCCGCATAAATACCCCAATGAGGCCGACTCTACTACCCTCTCCGGCAATGCATTCCACGCCCCTACCACACTCTGAATAAAGAACCTACCTCTGACGTCTCCCCTATATCTACCTCCACTCCCTTTAAAACTATGTCCCCCCGTAATAGCTACCTCCACCCTAAGAAAATGTCTCTGGCTGTCCACTCTATCTATACCTCTGATCGTTTTGTACATCTCTATCCAGTCACCTCTCATCCTTCGTCGTTCTAAAGAGAAAAGCCAAAGCGCTCTCAACCTTTCTTCGTAAGACCTTCCCTCTATTCCAGGCAACATCCTAGTAAATCTCCTCTGCGCCTTTTCCAATGCTTCCACATCTTTCCTGTAATGAGGCGACCAGAACTGGACTCAGTACTCCAGATGTGGCCTAACCAGGGTTTTGTATAGTTGGAGCATAACTTCACGGCTCATGAATTCAATTCTTCTATTAATGAAAGCTAACACACCATAACAATTTCTTAACAATTCTATCCACCTGGGTGGCAGCTTTCAGGGAACTGTGGACATGAACCCCAAGATCCCTCTGCTCCTCCACACTGCCAAGAATCTTTCCATTAACCCTGTATTCTGCTTTCAAGTTCATCCTTCCAAAATGAATCACCTCACACTTTTCAGGGTTAAACTCCATCTGCCACTTTCAGCCCAGCTCTGCATCCTATCAATGTCCCTTTGTAACCTAGAACAGCCCTCCGCACTATCCACAACTCGACCCACCTTCGTATCGTCCGCGAATTTACTAATTCACCCTTCCACTCCTACATCCAAATCATTTACAAAAATCACAAATAGAAGAGGACCCAGAACAGATCCTTGTGGTACACCACTCGTTACTGAGCACCATGTTGAATATTTTCCATCCACTACCACTCTTTGTCTTCTAAGGGTCAGCCAATTCTGAATCCAATCTGCCACATTTCCCCCTATCCCATGCCTCCTTACCTTCTGCATGAACCTACCGTGGGGAACCTTATCAAACGCCTTATTTAAATCCATGTACACCACATCCACTGCTCTACCTTCATCCACATGTTTGGTCACCTCTTCAAAGAATTAAAGAGACCCTATTCATCTTGGTTTTAAAAATCCTTCCCTTCAGTTAGCCTGTTTTCTACCTTTTCTGTGAAGTTACATTTTGCCAGATCTCTCAACTCACTGAACTTTTCCTTTTGCTAACAGCTTGATATTTGATTACTTATCATTTTGAATTCTTATTAACTGTCATCTCCTTTCACAAGCTATTTGCCTTGTTTCATTCCTGCATCCAATGAAATAATACATCTCTGCTTATCGGATTAGATCTGGAATGAAGTCCAGAATATGCTGTTAAAAAGTTTGAACTAGTTAGACCATATGTTGGATTGAAATTAGTTTCCTGTTAAGTTGATGCATGTTGTTTGGACGGCAATATTTAAATTCTTTCATTGATACCAGCAAATGGTGACATGGCCAGCATTACTAATTGGCCTTGCGAGGTTGGTTGTGAGCTGTTGTGCTGAAACACTCCAGAGCATGTAGTAAAGGTACACCTTGAGGCTGCTAGGAAGGGGTTCCAGGATTTTGACCAGGCAACAACGAAGAAACTGCAGTGTAGTTCCAAGTCCAAATGGTAAGTAGTTGCAAATGGTACTGAACATTTGCAATCATCAACATTCCAACCTCTAACCTTATGATGAAGGCAAGGTAATCAATACAGCACCAGCAAATGATTAGGCCAAGGGAACTATTTTAAGGAACTCCAACAGTGATGTGCTTGGAAATAAGCTGATCGACCTCTAACAACCATTATCATCATCCTTTGTGTTGGGTGTGGCTCCAACCCAATGGGACACATTTTTTTTCTTCCCCAATTCACATTGCATCTAATTTTACACAGGCTCCTAAAAGCCACGTTAGCCAAATGCTGCTTTGATGTCAAGGGCAAGTCCATTTCGTACCGAACACTCTTTTATGAAGATTAGAGTAGATATTTGGATAACTGATGGTTAAAGTGCAACATCAGCCTTTGTGTTGCTTTACATTAAATAAGCCTATAAATAAGTTGAATAAAATCTTATTTGTTTACTTGAAAAATCAATTATGAAAGCTTGAATTCTAATATTGTTGTGCTTATGTTTCTTTTATCAGTTAAAACAATTTGAGCTGCAGTTGGAAGAAGAATATGATGAGAAACAGAAAATTCTGAGAGAGAAGAGAGATCTGGAGAACAAACTGTCTACAGTCAGTGAGCAGGTAATGTTTAGAAAAGGATGCAAAATGATGTCCGTTAGTAATTGAAGAACTGGACACAGTTTTGTGATTTTTTTTTTTCTTCTTGAATGACCTAAAGCAATATTTGTATTCACTAATTAAGATATTGACCTTAACAGACCTTTTTAACTGGTTCCTCTGGTATATAAACAAAAACACAGACTTTTGGCTCTAATAGCTTCCTCCTATGCATTCTTGTGTCTAAAATTAAGTCAACTCTTAAAAAAAGTACGTGTCTTGTAATATATACTGTAGTAGACTCATCCCCAAACAGAATTGACTTTTGATCAGTCCCAGCAGGAGGCCCAGTACACTTTGAAAGCAGGATCTTGACACTATAGTGTCAAGGAGCTGAGGTGGGAGCAAATGTATTAGGGAAGGTAGTAGAGTAGTAGTAATGTCCCTGGCCCAGGCTAAAGCTCTGGCGACATGGGTTCAAATCCTACCCATCACAATAGCTGGCAGAATTTAAATTCAATTAATAAATCTGGACTATAAAGCTAGACTTTTAATAGTGACATGACAAATATCATTGATTGTTGTAAAATCCCATTCACTTCACAGATATCCTATTACTTGGTCTGACCAAATGTGACTTCCCAAGTCACAAGAATGTGGTTACCTCTTAGCTGCCTCTTAAATGACCTAGCAAGCCACTCAGTTCTTGGATGTTTAAAGATAGATATCTGCTGACTTTGCTGGCAATGACCATCTCCCTTGAAAGAAATAAAGAATACCCCAGGGAAAGGTACCAGCTCAGCGCTGTGCAATAACAGGCAAGCCAAATAGGCTTTGGACCAGATGAAGGGACAACTCCTTCTTTCAGAAGATGGAATCAATGTACCTTTTAAATTTTTGTCTTTAGTGGGCAAATGTGTGGCACTTTTGAATGTTTGCACATAATTGTGCATGCATGATAAATAAAAAGGGCTGGCTTGTGCATAGACTACATGTGCACTTCTGGGATGTCAAGCAACCACATTGATAGGATCCAGTGTGACAATGGCCCACTTTGTTTTCCTGCATCCTGGTGGAACATTCTTCTGGCAGGTTCACAAAAATAGATTAATGGTCATCTGCTACAGTCACCTTTGGCTGGATTTTAAACTGATACTATCCAGAGCATGGTCTGTCCACTGCTGCCTGCACTACTGGTCTCTGACTGTCACATTGTGTAACTTGTATGAGCACTTTGGCCATCCAGTAGTAGATCTCAGAAAAGGTCAGGGTTAACAGGGAGGTAAGTCATTCCGTGTCATTTTCAGGGAGCTACACTCCCATTTTTCATAGATGAAAGACCACCTCATGTTGCCATACAAGGCACTTCCATATCAAATTTTGCTTAAACTGTGAGAAAGGTAGTTTAAATGCAGTTATGTTTTAAATCCATTTATGTTTTAGGTAAGTTTCAATAGTTAAAAGCTCTAAAATTCCAGAAGTATGATTACAATTTTACGGCAATGTATAAAAATTCAATTTGCCTCCTTGGTTCCGTGGTTAAGGGTGTCTCTGAGCGGGCACGGGATATTCTGACAGGGGAGGGTGAGCAGCCAGAGGTTGTGGTCTGTATTGGTACTAACGACATATGCAGAAAGAGAGATGATGTCCTGCAAAGGGATTCAGGAGTTAAGTAGGAAGTTGAAAAGCAAGACCTCTAGGGCTTTGGTCTCTGGATTACTTGTTCATCCATACTTTATCCACTCTGCCTTAAAAATATTCAAAGACTATGCTTACACCACCTTTTTGAGGTGAGGTCATATGGGATCTACAGTGAGCTGGTAAGATGGATACAGAGCTAGCTTAGTCATAGAAGACAGGGAGTAGCAGTGGAAAGGTGAACTTCCGATTGAAGACATGTGAACACTTGCGTTCTACAGGTATTGGTGCTGGAAACCCTGTTGTTTGTCATATGTATAAATCATTTGGAAGCAAATGTAGGTTGCCTGATTAGTAAGTTTGCGTGTGACACAAAGTTTGGGGGAGCTGTGGATATTGAAGAGGATTGCCAGAGGATAAAACCGGATATAGATTAGCTGGAATCTTGGCTGGAGAAATGACGGGTGGAGTTTAATTCTGACAGATGTGAAGTGATGCATTTTGGGAGATCTAACGCAGGAGGAACCCTTAGTAGCATCAACATACAGAGGGTTCCAGGCATACAGGTCCACAGTTCCCTAAAAGTGGCAACACAAATTGATATGGCATGCTTGCCTCCATCAGTTTGGGCACAAGAGTATAAAAATTGGCAAGTCGTGTTGCAATTATTTAGCACTTTAGTTAGGCCGCATTTGGAATACTGTGCCTTTCTCGTTGCTATACTACAAGAAGGATGTGTAAACGTTGGAGAGGGTATAGAAACTATTTAGCAGGATGTTGCCTTGTTTGGAGGGCGTTACCCATGAGGAGAGATTAGACAAACTTGGTTTGTTTTCACTTGAACATCAAAGGATGAGGGGCGATTTGATAGAAGTTCTCAAACTTATGAGAGGCATGGTTAGTTGGAGTGTTTTTCTCAGGGGAGAGATACCAAATAGTAGTGGATGTAGCTTTAAGGTAAAAGGGGGTAAAGTTTAAAGGAGATATGAGAGGAAGATTTTATACGCAGAGGTTGGGAAGTGCCTGAAATGTGCTGCCAGAGGAGGTAATGGAGGTGGATACAATAGTAACATTTAAGAGACATCTTGATAAATATATGAATAGGCAGGGAATAGAGGGAGACAGTGTAGAGGCAAAAGGTTTTTAGTTTAGAAAGGCATCATGTGTCAGTGTTGTCTTGGTGGACTGAAGGGCATGACCTGTGCTGTAGTGCCCTTTGTTCTGTTTAGAATGAATCATTTTTGAGGGGTGTTCATTATTAAATTGCTGAAAACAGAACATTAGTATAGCTATTTTACAATAACATGATATCAGCTTTATATTTTTAGGGTGATGCAAGGAGTTTAACTCTCGATTTGCTGCCTTTTCCTAGGATTTTGCTAGCTTGATTTGTTTTTTAAAAAACTAGGTTAGTGAACGAGATTTTGAAACTGAAAAGAGACTGCGTAAGGATCTTCGACGGACAAAAGCCCTTCTAGCTGATGCACAAATAATGCTGGATCACTTCAAGAATAATGCACCCAGCAAACGGGAAATCGCACAGTTGAAAAACCAGGTAATGCTTCATTATCTTTTTCATCACTTTAAGCTCCAGTTTCTCAAAGTTATAAAATATTGTTGGTCAATATTACTCTTTTTTTTTTTGTGGAAGATCGTTCCTAAAGTTAACAAGGTAAAATGAACCAGTGTTGAAAACTTAGGAGCAGAAACAACCCATTTGGTTCGTTGAGCCCGCTCTGCCATTTAATAAGATTATGGCTGATGTGATTGTAATTTTGACTCCACATTCCTGCCTTCTCCCAATACCCTTTCACCACCCCTCTTGTTCATCCATATTTTATCCACCTCAGCCTTAAAAATATTCAAAGACACTGCTTACACCATTTTTTCAAGGAAAAGAGTTCCAAACACACTCAACCCTCTAAGCAGAAAACATTTTTCTTCTTCTCTATCTTAATTGGGTGGCAACTTATTTTTAAACAGTGACCCCTATTTCTAGATAATCCCATAAGAATAAATACCTTTTCCACATCAATCATGTCATAGCTCCTCCGGTTCTTACGCTTCAGTCAAGCAACCTTACTCAACTCCAGTCCATACAAGCCTAACATGTCTAACCTTACCTCAAAAGACAGACTGTCCATTTCAGATATTAGTCTGCTAAATCTTCTCTGAACTGCTTCCAATAGATTTTAAATCCTTCCTTAAATAAGGAGACCAGTGCTATGCACAGTGCACCACATTGGTCCCACCAGTACCTTATATAACTGAAACATAACCTCCCTGGTTTTGTTTTCTGTTCCCCTGGCAATAAATGATAATATTCTATTAGCTTTCCTAATTACCTGCTGTATCTGAACACTAGTTTGTGATTAATGTCCTAGGACATTCAGATCCATCTTAACATTAGATCTCTGCAATCTCTCACCATTTAGATAATGTGCTTCTGTCTTATTCTTCCTGCCAAACTGGAAAATTTTGCATTTTCCCACATTATATCTCATTTTCCAGATCTTTGCCTAATCGCTTAAACTATCTGTCTCTTCGAAATCTCCGAATATCCTCTTCACAACTTATTTTCCCACCCATCTTTGTGTCATCAGCAAGTTTTAAAATCATACCATTAGTCCTGTCATCCAAGTAATTTATGTGAATTGTAAATAGTTGAGGTCCCAGCACTGATCCCTGTGGCATGTCACTTATCACATCTTGCCAGTCAAAGAAAAAAGACATTTGTGCTTACTTTCGGTTTCTTGCTAATCTTGTATCACTGCCAGTGTTTCCCCCACACCATGAGCCTTCATATTCCACAAAAACCTTAGATTTCAGGTAGGCATTTAATAAGGTATCATGTCAATGTCCAGTACAGCTACTACTTTCCCTTCATCCAGAGCATGTTACTTCTTCAAAGAACTCCAATAAATTAGTTGAACGTGAATTCCCTTTCACAGAACCATCTATTTGATTACCTTGAATTTTTCCAAGTACCCTGTTATGACACATTTAATAATAGCTTCTAACATTTTCCCTGTGCCAAATGTTAAACTAATGGGCATGTGGTTTCCTGCAACATTTCCCTAACTGTAAATAACATAAGCAGAGGTCTGTTAAGTGGTAGAATTTGCTTCTTTTAAATTAACTCAAGCAATACAGGTATTGCTGGTATCGTAGTATTTATTGCCCATCCAATGGCAGGACAGCACTGGTTCAAAAGGCACCTCACCACAACTTTCTCAAGGGAAACTAGGGATGGGCAATAAATGCTGGCCAGCCAACAACCCACATTCCATGAGTGAACAAAAAAACTTCCCTTGCAAAGGTACTGATCAAATTACATTCCACAGTGGGTACTGTTACGTAGGGAATTCTAGGATTTTGGTCTAGCGACAGTGAAGGAATGGTGATATATGGGAGTTCAATGGGGAATTTTCAGATAATGGTGTTCCTGCCTGCCTCCTGCCCTCGCTCTTTGTGATAGAGGCTGCAAGTTTGGGAGGTTATTTAAAAGAAGCTTTCATAATTTGCTTCAGTGCCTCTTTAGATGATACGCATTGTAACCACTGTGTACCAGTGATGGAGGGAGTGAGTGTTTAAGATGGTGAATGAGGTGCTAGTCAAATGGAGAGTATTGCTTCTGATGATCTACTCCTCCAGGCAAGTGGTGCGTATTCCATCACATGCCTGACTTCTGTCTTGAAGCGAGTGAAAAAGCTTTGGAATAACAGGTGTTGTGTAATTGCCTGCGAATACCCTGCTTATGCAGGGTGCCACAAAATTTGAGGTTCATTAATTAAATTTTGTCTGGTCAATAAATCCAGGATATTGATTGATGGGAGTGGTTCAGCAAAGATAACTCTGATGCTTGTTAAGGAGAAGTGCTCAGACTTTCATGTTGAAAATGGCCACTTGTGTGGTATGAATGTTAAATATCACTTGGCTCAAGTTGATACCTTTCTGAAATACAAGTATGCAAGATTCTCAATGTTCCTCTCTATAATGTCCGATTTGATTCTTTCTCTGATTGTTACATGTTCTGTAACTCCTCTAAACAACAGCTCCAGTATGTTTTGGTAGAATATGATGTATGTAGATAGGTGAATGATAAATTTACCAAAATAAACAATTGGTGTCCTAAAGGATACATTGAAATTGATTCTCTGACAGTTTTCCACATGTATGCTATAATTTCAATGAAAAGGCAACCAGAATATTGAGGAAATAAGATGTGGTCATTTAAGACCATAAGATCTGCCAAAAAATCTTTAAAAAGAGCTGGCCCCTCCATGGAGGAAGATTTAATAATCCTTAATGAGGTATGTATGAAAAGGAAGAACAATCCACAGAAGACTTTTTTTTAGTCCAAGCCAGTTCTGTGAACAGCTAAGTATTTGCTACACCAAATACAATCAAAGCAAATAGATTTTTCGCTCAAATGACTTAATTATTTTTAACAGTATGCTTCTGTACCGAATACAAGTGGGTTGATTATCTTCATGTTTTAAGCAATCTTTTTTTTTCATGATGCTTTAGGAAACAAATGAAAAACTCACATGCTTTCACAGTTTGTTCGTGGACGATGAGATGTCTTATGAGATCTGCAAACAATAGTGTTCTTACAATAAGCCTGCAAGATTAATTAATGGTATTCTCTGTGCCAAAGCACAATGCTGAGATTTATACACTTATTCTAATGATTCAAGATAATTGTATTCCCAAAGAATGGGGAAATGAGGCAAAGCAAAAATAATCTAGAGAAATACTTCTGATACTGAAGACACTTCTTAATTACATTATGTTGCTCTCAGAACCTGCTCTGTCATTCAACAAGATCGTAGCTGATCTTCGATCTCAACTGTTATCTTACACTGTCCTCTGATCCCTTGATATTTTTGCATAGAAATCTATTAATCACTGTCTTGAAGTTACTTAGTGGTTGCCCCTGAGGGTTGTGTAGGCTCGGAGAATTGTGAAGATTCGCCACCCTCTGAATGAAGAAATTCTTTTGCAACAGAATTCCAAAAGGACCAACCCTGCAACTGTCATCTAGTTCTTGAACAGGGAACATCATTCCTGATTCTACCCACTTGATCCCTGCAAAGATGCTTTTATGTTTGAATGTGGTTACCTCTCATTTTTCTTTAACTCCAGAGAATATAGGCCCCTTCTATTTATTCCTCCTTCAGAGGACACTGTTTTCATCCCAGGAACTAGTTTGATGAATTTTTTTTTAACATTCCCTCCACAGCAATTTTATCTTTCCTTGGGTAACTCTACAAGAACTGCACAGAATATTCTAGGTGTAGTCTCATGAAGCCACTGTATAATTGTAGTCAGACATTTTTATTCTATTCTCAGATCCCCTCGTAATAAAGGCCAACATCCTATTTGCTTTAATTACTTGCTGTACCAAAATGTTAATGTTCAATGATTCATAACCGAGGAAACTTTATATTTTTGATTTTCCTGCCAATTTCCATATTGTATTCTGTCTGCTAAATTTACGGACACTCGCTAGCCGCTTCAAATTCCTTCATATCCAATGTCCCCTCACAACTCCCACTCGCACGTAGCTTTATATCAGCTGAAAACTTAGAAATATCACATTTAATCACCACATCCAGCTCGTTGGTACTTATTGTATTTAGCTGGGACCCACACATGATCCTTGTGGTACCCTATAACAGACAGCCTGTCAACATGAAAATTACCCATTTATTCCTGCTCTCTGATTTTTGTTTATTAACTAGTTCTTCATCCATGTCCCAACCCTCCAATCCCAAGTGTTTTAATTTTGTTTACTGGTATCTTGTCTGGGCCCTTATGTAAATCTAAATATACCTCACCCACCAGTAATACCTTCATTTTATGATAATGGCATTTGTTAATTGATTTTGGGCTATTAGCAATTCTACAAGTTTCAGAAACTCTATATAAAAATGGCTTATCTGTAACCAACTGTTATCATTTAATTCAGAGGTTGTTCTTTTTTTTTTTAAACAGTTTACCTTTTACCTAATCCAACTGAATCATTTTGCATTCTTTGTAATTATTGTCAATTTTTAGCTTGAAGAGTCAGAGTTCACTTGTGCTATAGCTGTCAAAGCTCGAAAAGCCATGGAAGTTGAAATGGAAGATCTGCACCTTCAGATTGAAGATACCTCTAAAGCCAAAGTTTCAGTAAGTACAGATAAGCATTTTGGAATGGGGATTTTAAAGTAGAGGTAAAATAGATTTGTAATTTCAGTTCTGTGAAGGTTTTGTTTTTGAAGAGATCAGAACATCATTTGAAGCTGTGGACTAAATACCTCCCTTTCCAAGAGACCGTAGTCAATAAATAACCAGTAAGATATCTGTAAATGTAAATGATGAGATGTTCACAATGCTGAGTTTTATGACATGCAGGTAAACAAATGGTCAGCAGCCACCAGTAGCTCAATTTCAAATTAGAAGAGCAATTCATATCAGCAGAAGGGCAGGTGATTTTTCCAAGCTGGGAGAGTTTGTGCAGAGGTTGTCTAGGCTATTAGAACTGGAAATAAGTTTCTAGGTCCTCATTTCAAAAATGAATCAATTAAGTGTCAAATTAAAGAGCTAAGATACATCACTGGGATTGAGTATCTGTGAAGGAAGTTGCTGGAAAAATGATTGAATCTTTTGTTTTGCTGATGATAAGATCTTTCTAAACTGTTTTATCTGTTTATTCATAGTTCTGTCTTTTTGTGAAATAAGCTTCTGTTCTTGTGTGAAAAAACATTAACAAACCTCTGCAAATATGTTCAGTGATTAACTGCCACAGTAACCAACTGTAAAAAATGAACTTCTGATCTATCAAGTCAAGTTACCCAATGTTGCCCAGTCTGACTTACCCAGTGTTGTTTTCTAAAATTATGATAACAATGAAGTCATTGAAACAAAATGGATAGAACAAATTCACGGTTGAAGAATTGGAGCAAAATGGAGGGCTGAAGGTTCATGGATTACTGGGGCCATTTCTGGGGAAGGTAGAAATTGTGCAAGTCAAATTGGGTGCACCTGAATTGGAACAGGGCCAACATCCTTGTGGGGAGATTTTCTAATGTGCTTTGTGGGGGATTAAACTAATTTGGCAGGATATTGGCGTGCTGAGTATAGGTACAATAGGGGATTATGCAGAAATATACAGAAGAGAAACCAATCCAGTCAAGAAAGTAGTGCAAATTATAGTCCAGTGAATGCACAAGGGCATGATCATGCTGGCTGGCATTTATTTTAGTGCAAGGAGTCTTGCGTCTATGGCAGATAGGTTGTGGGATTTGCTTAACACATGGGATTTAATATGTGACGATTCTATGATTTTAGAGGTGTATTTGTTTTCCTGTTTTTTTTCTGTGACTAGAAGTTGAGACAGATGTGATGAGTGGTCTGTTCCTGGCCAATAAAGTAAACAGCTTGTGAGGCCTTGGGTTGTTTTAAAGTTGGAACAATAGAAATAGCATGAATGAGTAGAGTCATGCATCCACATGACCAGGGCTTTAGTTTAGCTTTCAGTAGTTATTGGGGTTTTGAAACTGCCATACATCTCTCACTTTTATACCAAACCCTTGAGTACTCTCTCTCTGCCAGAATCTTGTCTTGATGTTCTTTCCTCCTAAACTGGAGCAACATTGTATGTGAAAAATCTATTTTACTGAATTTGCCTTCGCTATATCAGAACAGTTGCTGTTTAGTAGTTAAATAATTTATTATTCTGTTAACTTTTACAATAGAGTTAAATTTATACCATTTCTTCTTTCTTTGGTTTGTATTTTAATTGCAGAATTAAGAATAAAGTGTTTTGCTTAAAGCTGAGTAGTGTAACCAATCGGATTAACTCTGAACACAGCACCTTACACTTGGCTTTAAAAAAGAAAACGTTATGGTTTAGGCTAGTAAGAACTACCTATGCTGGAGTCAGAGATGACACCGTGTGGAGCTGGAGGAACACAGCAGGCCAGGCAGCATCAGAGGAGCTGGAAAGCTGACATTTCGGGTCGGGATCCTTCTTCAGAAATGGGGGAGGGGGAAGGGAGCTCTGAAATAAATAGAGGGGTGGGGCTGGGGAAGGTAGGTGGAATGGTGATATGTAAGTAAGTGCAGGAAGGCAGTGGTGGGGATTGGTATCTTTTATATATTTGAAGGGTGTTTGGTCTGGTCCATAACATATTGCTACTGCACAGTGACAGTTGAGAGAGAGAGAGAACTCAATATTCTGGGTTTTGGAAACTTTAGTGGAGGTGGTGTCACAGTTTTGATTAAGCTGTCAATACTACAGTAAGGAGGAATGATATCTTAGGTTCCTTGAATGAGGTCATGTGGGCAGAACTTAACTCTGATTTCTGTCCACAGATGCTGCCAGATCTGCTGAGCTTTTCCAGCAATTTCTGTTTTTGTTTTTGATTTCCAACATCTGCTGTTCTTTCAGTCATTATTTAGAAATTTCAGTATCTATATTTATTTTATGAAGAATTACCATCAGTTGGGATTATAACTGTTGTCAAACATTGTGCAGTGTTTTATTTTATTGCCTCTAATTTTTGCCCATGGAAGTACCTTTGAATATTCTTTTTCTGTGTACAAATTAATTAAGTCAGTCACAGTACAAAGCCTTGTCATACTCTTCTCTTCACTTCAAACATATTTGAATGATTTTGGTGATTGATTTTATTGTCAGTGTACTGAAATAGAATGAAGAGCTTTGTTTATAAGTCGTACAGGCAGATCACAGCAAGCAAAGGATGTACAGATCAAAAAGACTTTGAGGCATACGGTTTACATTGCAGATTACATTATTTGAGGCTAGAGTTCTATCAACAGTTTAATAATGACTAGAAAGAAGCTGTTCCTGAACCTGCTGGTGCATGTGTTCAGGCTTCTGTATCTTTTGCTTGACAGAAGAGGTTGTAGGAGGTCATTACCAGGCTGCGATGGGTCTTTAATGACATTGGTCCTCTTTCTGTGGCAGCAAGCCGTGTAAATAGAGTCCATGGATGGAAGGTTGGTTTCCGAAAAGGTCTGGGCTGTGTACACCATGTTCTGTAGTTTCTTGCTATCCTGGGCAGAGCAGTTGCCATAGCAGGCCATTATGCACCCAGAGAGCATGCTTTCAATGGTGCATCTGTAGAAGTTGGTGAGCGACCTTATGGATATTCCAAGTTTCCTGAGTCACCTGAGGAAGAAGAGGCATTGTTGTGCCTTCTGGACTGTCGCATTTACGTGGGTTATCGTCAGTTATCATCATTCCGAGGAACTTGATGCTCTTCACTCTCCCAAACTCCGTTCCATAGATGTAGATGGGAGCGTGTTCTCCTCCTTTCTTTCTGATGTCAATGATCAGTTCTTTAGTTTTGCCGATGTTGAGAAACAGATTGTTTTCATTGCACCACATCACCAAGCCCTCTATCTCCCTTCTGTATTTTGATTCATCATTGTTAGCTATCCGTCTCACTACGGTGGTGTTGTCAGCGAACTTGTGGATGTCCTTCTTCCAGCTTAATACTTGCTTTTTGGTCCAGCTGTAGGCTCAAGATAAATTCTATGTCTTGACTGTCAATGCAACATTTCAACAATAAGGTGATAATATATAGTTTTCTAATTCTTAAACAGAGTAGATGAAAGAATGAACTTGTATTGTCAGTTATGACCTTGCAGGGGGTGAGTAAGGTGGGTGTCTCAAAGTGCTATACAGTGAATAAAGTGAAGCCAATACTGATCTGGAGTGTCAAAGTGTATGAAAGTGTCTTCAATTGATTTTTTTTCCCCTAAATGATGCCTTATGAGTCCCACAATAGGTATACAGCTACAACTGAGAACATTTCAATTTTGCACATAGATATAGAACTGGTAACCCTTCAGCATATTAGTAGAGGACAAAGAACTTGAAAGTATCTGAGAAGTCCTTGTTCATGACACTGGATTTCCAAAATGGAATGTGCCATGTTTCTCAGAAATAGCGTCTTTCACCTTGAGCTCAACATTCACATTATAAAAAAGTTGCATAGCAAAAACCGCAAATTGTCCTGATATCATGGAAAGAATTGTACAATTACAGAAATATTTATCATTATGTTAATTATTGACTTGCAGCTATTCCGTAATGCATTGCACGGTAGCAAAGCCTGCTAAAATTGTGAAATATATCTGGTCCCTGAAGATTGAAAAGTGACAAATGGAACTCTACAGTTCAAGGAAGGAGGGAGAAAACAGGAAACTAGGCCTCTTACCCATAGTTTGGAAAACGCAAGGGTCTGTAATAAAGAATGCAACAACAGAATTGGAAAATAATGGTAGATTTAGGCAGAGTAAGCATGGATTTATCAAAGAGAAATCATGTTTAACAAATCTATTGGAATGTTTAGATAATGTAACTAACAAATAAGAGGGAACCATTGGATATGATATATTTTGATTTTCAGTAAACATTTGATAAAATTCCATGCAAGAGATTAATAAACAAAATTAGAAAACACAGGATTAAAAATAATATATTGACATGGATTGAGACCTGGTTAACCCATTGAAAATAGAGTCAGAATAAATGGGTCATTTTCAGGTTGTCAATCGAAGTAAATCAAGGATTAGACCTTAGAATCCAATATCCACAATTTGTATCATAGATTTGAATGCAAGATTAAATGTAATTTTTCCAAATTTGCAGATGACACAAAACTAAGTGGGGTTGAGAGCTGTGAGGAAGATATTAAGATGTTTCAAGTGAATTAGAGAGGCTAAATGAATATGAAGAAATTTGGCAGATAAAATAATGGAGAAGTGTGAGATTATTTGCTTTGGTATAAAAACAAATAGAAAGTTTCTTAAATGGTAAAAGGCTTGGAACTGTTGAACTTCAAAGGGATTTGGTGTATTTGTTCATCAAACACCGATTTAACATGCAAGTATAAACAATTAAGGCAAATTGTCTGTAAACCCTCATTAGAAAAGAATTTGAGGATAGGAGCAAAAATGTGCCATGTCCACAAGACATGAAGAGAGATCATAAATTGCTATAAAAGCTATATTTTCTTGTTTAAACTTGACAAATGTGCAAATTAGGAGCAGAAGTAGGTCACTCAGTCCTTTGAACAACCTAGAATTTTGCATTCATTCTCCATACAAGTAATACTCCACTTCATTCTTGTGTTATAATGAACAATTTCACATCCTCTTGCATTATACTCCATTTGCCAGATTTTGCCAACTCCCCTCACTTGTCTGTATTGGTCTGCATCTTTGTCACGTCATCTTCATAATATATTTTTCTACCTATCTTTTAGTCATCTGCAAATTCAGTCACCATGCCTTGGTTGCCTCATCTAAAATTGTTAAAAGTTGAGACCCAGCATTGAACGTTGTGGGACCCACTCATTACATCCTGCCAATCTTTTTTCTACCAACTAATCTCTGTTATTGCATTACTGCCTACACTATGTCTTCCTACTTTGTACAGTAGTCTATTTCATTGAGCTTTGTCAAATGCTTTTTGGAAATCAAGTATTATATATCAACAGGCTCCCCTTTTACCTAAAGTACTCTTTTACTCCTTCAAAGAATGCCAAAAAATTGGTTAAACATAATTTCCATTTCACAAAACCATGCTGACACTTCTTTACCTTGAATTTTTCCAAGTACCTAGTTGTAACCTCCTTAAAAGACAATGCCAGTCCCTTTCCCTCCATAGACACCAAGCTGACTGGCTTATAATTTACTGATTTCTGCCTCTTTGTTGTTCTTTGCTGGGCTAAAAAACAGTTGCTATCAGTCACTAAATTCCAATCAGCAGTTACCTGGACAGAACTCAAATATCATCTTCCTGGAATGTCACATGCTTGCAATGAATGGACAAACCGAAACAAAAATAGCAGATGAGAGTCTCCCCAGATGGTTGCGATTAAAGTGAAGCTATGAGACTTATTATGCCTGAAGGGCATGAATAGCTCGTCATTGATTTAAAAACAAAATCCCAGGTAGGGAAATAGAAACCAATTGTTAAATAAATGTTTAATTGTACATTTTCTGAACCTTTACTTCAGTCTGGTAAAAAACAGTTTTCTAGTGGCGTCTGCTTCATTGAGTTCGAGGTTTGTGGTTTCAAATTTCACTACTGCTTTGGACATGTAGTCTTGACTGGCAGGTACTCGAAGATAATGTGTTTGCCTATACAGGATGGAAAACATCTGTAGTAATATTAGAACAGCAGCAAAGATTGCTTTCTGCCATGGTTCCACTTCCTTTTTTAATCAACAGCAACAATAATCATATTATCTGATTTGTTTATCCCGTGGGTGTTTGTGAGGTTATCGTGTTCTAATTGGCTGTCAGTTTTCCCTAGATAACAACGATTACATGTCAGAAGTAATCCATTGAGTTTTAATCATGTAACGGCACATTAAAGCAAAAAAGAGCAAATGTTACTGTTTGCTTAAAATAGAGTCATCTTAACATTCAACTTCGATTGGTCCAAGTGACTTTGCATTCATAATCTTCAGAAACTGAATTTCCAAACTCCTGTTTGATTCAGAAGAATAATTATTTCCCATATGGATGCCAAAATTACAGGGAGAATCGGCCTGAACTATTCTCATTCAGCTTCTAAAAACATGATTTTTGATGGCACTGCTATAAGAGCAAAGAAAATGCTATCCTGCCTCCAATCTATAAATAATAAGTGAACCACAATGAGGGGCCTTCATTAAGTAATGAAAGAGCGTTCTGAGTTAGTAAGTACAACTTTTAAACTGCAGTATCAGCCAGTATATGTGACATTTCATAATTGCAAAATGATGCAGCAAGGTTGGTGAAATCATCCAGTGGCTCGAATGTAATTTGTCTGTGTTTCCTGTTTATAGTTGGAAGAGCAGCTAAGTCGTTTACAACGTGAGAAAAATGAGGTACAGAGCCGTCTTGAGGAGGATCAGGAGGATATGAATGAACTCATGAAGAAGCACAAAGCTATAGTTTCGCAGGTTGGTAATTTACTTGTCACATTGCGTGTTATTTTTCTTAACACTACATTGCCACACACAAATTGAATTGGTGAGGAGTGTAGGTTCAATTTGTTTGAAAATCTCAAACAGATTTGCTGAATAGACAAACTAATAACTGAGCAGCTACAGCCCATCTTATTTATACACCCTTACTCTAGCACTTTGCTATCTTGACTCCTTATGTCTGCTGGCCATGTGATATCTGGTTCTTGGCTTGTTAACATACTTCTCAGAAATAATGCAGGATTTCCTTTTTTCAAGATGAAATTGCATGAATTAAATGAAAATATGTGTACATTAGGTGACTTGCAGAAACATTTTCAACTCTTGTTTCTATGTAACTAAAGTTTAAGAGTCTGAATCTGTATAGCGTAGTAATGGTTTGCATTTTGCACTTTAGCTACTGTGCCAGTATCAGTAACTACATAATGTTTGGAGATGTTGCTGTCTAGTAACACTGGGTTAATGTTTTATGCCATGTTTTAGCAGTGTATCAATGACCTATCTGCTCAGACAGCACAGCAGACAAATTTTGTTCATGTCATGGCACTTAACGATGAACTAATCAATTGATTCTTCTGGCTGTTGCATTATAAGACATTAGCTCTAGATGGAGAATTCTAAAGTTCACTTTCACATGAAGCTGATCTTCCAGCATTTTAATTGAATTAAATTGGTTTAGCAAAATGGCGGCAGAGTAAGACTTCAGTCAGAGCTCCTCTGCTGGCCTGTTCCTTTTGCTATTCCTTTCTTTTTTCTCCTCTTTGTCCTCTTTGCAATATTTCTTCCCCCCCCCCCCCCCTCCTCCCCTCCCCCAAGGGAGTCAAGTAGCAACGAAAGTCCAGGTAGGAACTGAGCGCACAGACGTGTCCCACAGTGGCAGCAGAACGGGTTGAGTTGTTGACCGAATTCCGGAACGACAGCAGCAAAGTGAGCATGGGCCAGGCTGAGTCCTGGAGTGAAGGGGTGGGCCGACGGCAGCAGGAGAATCCCAAGTCCTGGAGAGGCAGCGTGGGCTGATGGCAGCAGGGGAATCCCAAGTCCCGGACGGCACGAGGTGAAGCGAATCCTGGCACAACATGACTTGCCATGTTGCTGCTGAGTGCTAATGAGGAGCAGATTGGAGGCTGAAGCGATGCAGAACAATTGCTGGACTTGGGCCTGGCACCATGTGCTAAGCTGCTGCTGTTTGGAATTCTTCACTGGAGTGTGATGTAAATCCTTTTCACAATGTTATAACTACCTCATTTGTACCTTATTCTTAGACACTAAGTAATGCTACTGCTTTCCTTTTAATCCTTTTTTATATAATAGCACTTGATTTACTTTGTAAGATTTCTACCTACCAACTTGTAACTTTTAAAAGGCAGCCATTGTAAAAATTATTCACTGTACTGGAGTACAAGTGACAGTAAAGGATATTCATATGAATTGAATTAGCTTTATTGGCACATATACACAAATTATTACAGTGAAAAGTTTATAGTAGCCATATTACAGTGCCATCTTGCATACAAGGGTACCTAGGTACAAATGCTTAGGATCAAATTCTTAAGAAACAAAATAAAATTAGAAAAGTAAAGAAATAAATAGTCCAGCACTATAGGACATAGGAATAAATAGGAAAAATAAAGAAGTAAAAAGTTCAGAATATCAGTCCTTCTGACCCAGTCCATCCCAGCACCTACTCTCAAGGGACACCTCCACCATCACCCCACCACCTGCACTGGACCCACCAAAGTAGGAGTCGCCTCACTTTTTCGCCATCTCTTCACCACTGGGCCCATTTCACTGATGCTGCTGAGCCCACACTCATCTCACAACCAAGCGTCCCTGGCTCCGCTGGCACCACCATCCCTGATTGCTGGAGGAGCTTTGCTGCCACTGCTGCCGTCCCTGAATGTTGGGAGAATGACCCTGCTGCTGCCGCCTTCTACTGCTGGGAGAAGCCATATCTACCACTCCATAGGTGGGCTGCCCTTGTGCTGCCAAGCAAGCCACCATAGAAATGAAAAAAAGACCAAAAGACAAGGAAAATAAAGCAAAAGAAAAGAGCAGAAGCAAAAGTAGAACAAAGAAGGAAAACTGAAGGGAGCTTGATGGGCCCTGGGCAAGTATCTGCACCCAGCCCTGTTACTCTGCCACCATTTTGCACCGGAAGTCTGTCTCATAGTTTGGGATGATCTCGTTGCAACGTTGACTTTGTGTAATTTCTCATTTCCAGTAGAAATCGTTATTTTCACTACTTAGATATAATTGCTGCAAAATAGATAAGAAGCAAAGCTCCATTCTTTGCTCAAGAAGCTTAAATTCAGAAAGGACATCTGCGGCCTTCCAATTCATTGCTAGGGAATTTGATAGTCATCTTCCTGATGTTTCCTATCTTCTGCAAATGTTATCGATGTGTAAAGGATTTATAGTATTGAGTATGTATGGCTACTGTGTTTGGAGATGTGGCAGTGCAGCTATTGTTCTCCCTTTTCCTTTTTTAAATTTTTCTGTTTTCAGTTGTGGCTCTGGTGGAACTGGTACTGAAGCCTGACTTGATGACTGTGCAGTATCTATAGCCTAACTTGGATGTGTGTCTCCACCTGTGCAGACCACCAATCCGTTCAGCTCACGAATCAGTATTGGAGTGCTATAGTACCTCTGAGCAAGGAGGCCTAGGTTCATGTCTCACCTCCTCTAAACAGTATGTCATAACATCACTAAATAGGTTCATTTGAAGGTACCCACAAATCCATATTAACTGTACAGCCAACATTGTACGGTATTTTTAATTCTTCTAGGGTAAATATAACTTCTTAACTGCTTGACTGAGGCATTTCATGTGTTTTTCAGGTTTAAAATGTTGTTTTAATTCTTTAAAGAGTAATCACCACTAATCACTAGGTATTAGAGCCCATCAAGCAATCCTTCAGTGTGCAGGGATATGGCCCTTGATATCCACCTCACTGTTCTTCCTTCTGATTCCCCTCATTCCACCCCCCATGATTCCCACTCTGCAGACTCTATCCTGCCTTCCCTCACCTTTTGCCTGGGATCTGTCCCCAGCCTTGGATCTGAGTGGGGAGCAGTGTCACTAACAGCACCTGCTGGTGCTAGTGGAATGAGGAATAGCTCTTGGTGAGCAGGACTCCTGTCACTGGAGATCTTAAACAAAGGGAAAGCAGTTTCGTGGTCACTTAAGTACTGATGTGGTTTTTCTGCCAATTCTTCAACCACTTTGTGAGACACATTTTATCCTGATAAAATTCCAGTTATTGTGTCCAAATTTACAACAATTGATCTTTGAATTTGTTGTGTAAAGGAGCACAATTGGAAACCTCCTTTTTAAAAGTTAAATGCATTTAGCCCAATAGTTAACCAATTTGCGCAATGAATTTAAAGTCCTCTCCAAAATAAAGAATTTAAATGGTCTTCAATGTATTTAATTATGCGTTCTATGATATTTGTAATACACTAGTAATAGGAGCTGACAATGACTGGTCATTTACAGAACAGGAGTGGTCATCTGTCTTGTTTGAGTCTATGCCAGTTCACTGTAGAGCAGATTAGTCAGTCCCATTTCCCCCACTATGTCTCCATAGTCTGCTTGTTTATTTCCTTCAAGTGCCCATCCAATTTCACTTTGAAATCGTGATCATCTCTGCTTTCACCACTTTCATGAGCAGCAAGTTTCAGGTCATTATCATTTACTGTGTGCTAATGTTCTTCACATCATCTGTGCATCACTTGACCCAAATCCTACACATGTGCCCACTAGACCTTGTCTACCTTAACCAAATCATCAAATCAAAATAATCTGTACCTATGTCAGATCTTTATTGTTCCAAGGAGACAAACCATAACTGGTTTAATTTAACAATGTAGTTAAAATCCCTCACCCCTGGGACTGTTCTTGTGAATTTTCTCAGCATTCACTCAAGGGCCCTCCCATTTTTCTAAAGGATGGATACTATGACTGTACACACAACTCTGGTTGTGCCTAATCAGAACATTATAAAGGTTCTGCGTAACATAACATCTTTCAATATGTTCTGCAACCTTCAAAGACCTATTTGCATTCAACTCTCCATGTACTTCAGAACTGTGCCAATAAGTATATATTCCTTACCCTGTTCTTTCTGCTAGAATATATTATCATACATTTCTCTCTACTAAATTTCTTCAGTTACTCATCTTCCCATGCTGCTAGCCTACCTATGTCCTGTTGCAATCGATTTTTATATATTTTTATTTTATTATTCCTTAAAAAGTGGGCATCCCTGGCTAGGCCAGTTTTATTGCCTGTCAGAAAGTGGTGAGTTATTTCCTTGAAACACTGCAGCCCATGCGGTGTAGGTAGCCCACAACAGCTTTTAGAGGGTTGCAGGATTTTGATCCCCTGACAATAAAGGAATGGCGACATATTTCCAAGTCTGGATGTAGCTTGGAAGGGTACTTGCATAGAAACAGGCCATTCTGCCTACCATGTCTATGCCAACCAATAAACACCAGACCACAATAATCACATTTACCTGCACTTGATGCATAGCCTACTATGCCCTGGCGTTTTAAGTGCTCATCCAGATGCTGCTTAATTATTGCAATAGTACCTAATTCCACTACTCCCTCAGGCTGCACGTTCCATATTTTTACCACCCTCTAGGAAAAAAAAAACTTTTTCGATCTCCTCTAAATCATTTACTCCTTACCTTAAATTTGTGCCCTCTTGCCTTAGACACATTTGTCATGGGGAAAAGATTCTTATGATCTACCCTGTCTACGCTACTCATAATTTTAAATACCTCAATCAAATTCCTACCTTGGCCTCCTTTGCTCCAAGGAAAATAAACCCAGCCTATCAAGTCTCTCCTTATGATTGTGACTTTTCATCCCATGCAAGATTGTGGTGCACCCCTTTTAGGCAATTATGGCCTTCTGATAGTGTGGCAACCAGAACTGCGCACAGTATTCCATCTGGGGCTTAACCACCAATATTTTATAAAGTTGTAACAAGACTTTCCTGCTCCTACATTCTACGGTCCAGATAATAATGACAGGCATCTTCTATGCGCCGACACCTTCAGAGACTTGTACACCAAGGTCCCTTTGCTCCTCAGTACCCCCTAGCGTTCTACCATTCATTGCATATATCATTCCTTTAGTAGACCTCCCAAAATGTATCACCTTACACTTATGAGAATTAAATTCCATTAGCCATTGCCCTACCCAATTTACCAGATGATCAATATCAGACTACAGCCTGAGACCATTCTTCATTATCAACAACAACAGCAATTTTTGCATAATTTGCAAACTTTACTAATTATATCTTCTACATTCACATCCAAGTCATTAATGTACGTATCAAACAGCATAGGTCTGTGTGGGATGCCACTGATCACAAAACAACCCTCCACCCTTTGCCTCCTACTTGCAAGACAATTTTGGATCTAATTTGCCTTGGATCCCATGGGGTCTTACCATGTTGGACCTTGTCAAAAGCCTTAACTGAAGTCAATGTAAACTACATCAGCTGCACTAGCTCATCAATATATTTAGTCACCTTTTTAGAATCTCAATTAAATCAGTCAGACAGAATCTCCCTCTAACATATCTGTGCTGACTACTCTTGATAAATTCTTGCTTTTCCAAATATTAATTAATCCTGTCCCTCAACACTTTTTCCAACAATTTGCCTACTGCTGACATCAGACTCAGTGGTCTGTAATTACCTGGCTATCACTACTGTCCTTCTTGAGCAAAAGAAACACATTAGCTATCCTTCAGTCATCTGGCACTTCACCGGTAGCCAGCAAAGTATGAAATATCTCTGCCAAGTCCCAGCAATCTCCTCCATTGCCTCCCATAGTAGTCAGGGACACACCTTATCAGGCGCTGGGGTTTTTTGCCTGCTAAAATGTCTAAATAGTCCTCCTTATTAATTTTAACACATTCCACCTGAAATCCCTGGCCACTATCACTATCTCCTTTGTGAATACAGATGAAAATTCTTCATTTAAAGTCTCACCCATGACTTTTGGCGCCATGCACAGGTTGCCCCTTTTGGTCTCTAATAGGCCCCACTCTTTCCCCAGTAATCCTCTTTCTTTTTATATACTTATAAAATGTCTAGGGGGTTTTCCTTACTCCTATATGCCAAAGATATTTTATGGCCTCTGTTTGCCCCCCTGATTGTTTTTTAAAGCATCCCCATGTACTTCTGAAGTTGTTTCCCTGTTTTTAATGCACTGTCCCTAACGTATGCTTCCTCGTTTTTTTTTTCCTTATCAAACTCTTAATATCCCTTGACATCCAGGGTTCCCTAGACTTGTTGCCCTTGTCCTCCACTCTTTTAGGGCCAGTGTGTTCCTCTACTATGGCTATGCTACTTTTAAAAGACTCCCACTTTCCAAATGTAAACCCACCTGCAAGTAGCTGCGCCCAGTATATGTTTGCCAGAACCTGTGAAATGCTATTGAAATTGGCTTTCTCCCAGTTTGTACATGTCCGCACTATCCTTATCTCTTTCCATATGAATTTGAAACTCAGCGTTATGGTCATTATCCCCAAAAAGCTCAGCCAATGTCACTTCAACCACTTGACCAGCTTCATCCCCTAGGATTAGGTGTAGCCCTGCCCATCTCCAGTCAGGCTATCGACATACTAGCACAAAAAGCCAACCTCATCTAATCTGTTCAGTGTTCCCACGTATCTTCTGCATTCATTCTTCTAAGTGGTAGAGGTCATGTATTTGTAATATGCATATATAGCATATATGTATGTATGTTATAATTATTTAAAACAAACAGTGGCTCTATGGTTGCACCTTGAGAGCCACCACTGTTTACCATCGTCCAGTCTAACAAGTCAGAATTTTCCATAACTCATTGATTTCTTTCCTTTAAACTGATTGTTTTATCCAAGCTGACAGTGATCCTCCTAATCCATGAACCTTAATTTCATTAATCAGCCTTTTATGTAGTATTATATGAAACACTTTCTTAAAATCTATACGGGCAACATATTTATAAACCCTTCTTCAACGTTGCCTGTTACTTCATCAAAAATTAAATTTGGGTCAGACAAGTACTATCTTTAGAAATTTGTATTGACTATCTTTGATTAGCTAAATATTTGCAAGTACCTGTTAATTTTTTCTCTGGATTATTATTTCTAAAGCTTAACCGGCCATTGATGTTAAGCTAACTGACCTGTAATTGCTAGGACTGTTCAAAGACTCCTTCTTGAGTAAGGATTCACACAGAGGGTGGTTCTCATATAGAAGGACCTACCAGAGGGAGTAGTGGATGCAGGTACAGTCACAACATTTAAAAGACATGTGGACAGGTAAATGAACAGGAACGGTTTAGAAGGATATGGGCTAAATGCAGACAAATGGTGCTATCTTAGTTTGGAAAACTTGGTCAGCGTGGACGAGTTGGACTAAAGGGTCTGTTTCCATGCTGTATGATTCTTTGACTCTATGATATCGCACTTGCTACTCTACGGTTCTATGGCATCTCTTGTGTAGCTTTAAATATGCACTGCCAATCTTTTTTAGCCACTAGGTATTTTTTATCCGAGAAGGATTTGTAGAAGCTTGAAGCGCAGAAAGTGGCTCATCATACTATATCTGCTGTTTGAAGAGCTGTCCAAATTTTTCCTGCACTATAATTTTTACCCTATACCTCTGCAAATTAGTTCTGTTCAAAATTGAAATAAAGCTTTCCTTTAGTCATCTAGGGACTTAGCCCAAATCAATGAACTGCAGTCACAACTTGAAGAAACAAATAAAGAGAAACAAGAACTACAAGAAAAGGTACGTAATTCATTTTATTGTCATTATACAGTTTTTTTACAAGCAGAGCTATAATAGCCTGCATAGCCTTGGTAATTTACAGTGACCTTCAGATCTGGACATGCATTTTGTTAAACTGTGTGCCAAAGAAAGTTCACTCAAGTTTATTTTGAGTGGAAAATGCAATAATAGTTATCAAACAGAGAAAACAGCACAGTTTTGAAATAATTAAATATTCACGTTATTTCCTTTTCTTCAAAATTGTTACTCGAAAACAGCAAGAAAGATTAAAAAATCACAGTTGTATTTCACATTGTCTACCATCATGGTTTTGGCCTGAACTTCTCTGTGACTTAGAGATAGTAGGAACTGCCGATGCTGGAGTCTGAGATAACAAGGTGTGGAGCTGGAGGAACACAGCAGGGCAGGCAGCATCAGAGTAGCAGGGAAGCTGATGTTTCGGGTCTGGACCCTTCTTCAGAAATGGGGGAGGGGAAGGGGGCTCTGAAATAAATGGGGGGAGGGGGAACGGTGATAGAAGGTGGATAGTGGAGTGGATAGGTGAGAGAGAAGACGGACAGGTCAAGGAGGCAGGGATGAAGCTAGTAAAGGTGAGCGTAGGTAGGAAGTGGGGGTGGGGGTTGGTCAGTGAGGTGGGAGGAGCGGATGGTTGGGAGAGAAGAAGGACAGATCAGGGAGGCGGGGATGAGAGGGGTGCTGGTCTTGGGATGAGGTCGGGGTGGGGAGATTTTGAAGCTAGTAAAGCCCAAATTCAGACCATTGGATTGTAGGCTTTCAAGGCGGAATATGAGGTGCTGTTCCTCCAGTTTCCGGGTGACATCGTTGTGACACTGGAGGAGGCCCAGGATGGACATGTTGTCCAGGGAGTGGGAGGGGGAGTTGAAGTGGTTCACGACTGGGAGATGTTGTCGTTTGGGCCTCCTCCAATGTCACAACGATGCCACCTGGAAACTGGAAGAACAGCACCTCATATTTTGCCTTGGAAGCCCTGCAGCCCAATGGTCTCAATGTGGACTTTACCAGCTTCAAAATCTCTCCCCCACCACCCCCCTCACCCCCCCACTTCATCCCAAGACCAGCCTCCCCTCTCATCCCCGCCTCCTTGATCTGTCCGTCTTCTCTCCCATCTATCCGCTCCTCCCACCTCACTGACCAACCCCCAACCCCACTTCCTACCGACACCCACCTTTACTAGCTTCATCCCCGCCTCCTTGACCTGTCCGTCTTCTCTCCCACCTATCCGCTCCACTATCCACCACCTATCACCGCCCCACCTCTGTTTATTTCAGAGCCCCTTCCCCCTCCCTCATTTCTGAAGAAGCGTCCAGACCTGAAACGTCCGCTTTCCTGCTTCTCTGATGCTGCCTGGCCTGCTGTGTTCCTCCAGCTCAACACCTTGTTCTCTGTGACTCAGTTGCTTTGTGCAACCCAAACTGAACAAAATACTGAAGTAATCTATTTACAGTTTTCAGATTGGGACACAGTACAATAAAATATGACATTGGCAAATTAGACTGTTTCTGAAAAAGGAGCCAACCCTTTTAAATTTTGGCTTTGGATCACAGTATAGATGTAGCTGCTATTCTTCATTGACACTGATGTGCATGACTTGTCATTGTTTCTTTTTAAATGCACGAATTTATTGAAGAAATCCTTCACCCATTAAGTTGCTGTAGTTTTGTTTTTGTTTTTGATTTTGCTATCCGTCACAAAAATGTCACGAAAAAGGTCACTTCTAGCTGTAACAACAAAGTTACACAGCAATAAGAACAGAAGAGCAAGAAGCAGAGTGGGAAAATCAGCTCCTCGATCCTGCTCTGTCACTCCACTTTCTTGCCCACTCTCCATAATCCTTTAACCCATTATTAATTACAAATCTTTCTAGGTCCTCATCAAATTTAGTCAATGTCCCAGCTTCTGCCGCACTGTGGTGTAGTGATTCATGACCCTTTGAGAGAAGTGATTTCTCCTCATCTCTGTTTGAAGTTTGCTATCCTTGTTCTAAGATTATGACCTTTTGTTTTAGATTATGCTGCATAAATAAACATCCTTTCTATGTCTACTTTGTTGATCTCCTTTCTCATTTTATGTACCTCAGTTAGATAGCATCTCATTTTAAACTCCTGAGAGCATGGGCACAAACTGCTCAATATCTCTTCATAAGACAAACATTTCGTCTCTGGAATAATCTATTGAATCTCCTCTGAGCTGCCTCTGGACAAAGCCACAATTATTTCCTATCTCTAACTGATGGTGGAGTTGTAGTAATTATGGAGTTCCAAGACACTGACTTGTCATTAAATGAACAAATGGTGAGGAATGGCGATTATGTACAAATCAGGATGGTGTGTGACATGGAAGTGACTTTGGGGTAGAATTTTGCCAGAAAGCGATTTAGTGTCATTTCTGGCAAGTCTCATGAAAAGTTTCTCCCTGTGAGACCTAGCAGGTTTTCTCTTGCTCATCTCACCATTTTCCCCAATGGCAGCCCAATCATTGTATCCTCCCAATAGCCATAGGCAAAATACTTGCCAGTGCTGGGATATCCCAGAATTCCTGGTGCCAGTGCTATATTTTGTACATCAGGTCAAACACTGGCAGTTCCGAGCTGTTGGACGTGATTCCTGGACATGTCAGACAAAGGAAAATTAGCACCCCCCTTTCTGGACAGGGAGCTGGAGGGCCTTCCTAATGGCTAGTTTCTACCTGGTGAGTGAGAGAATGGGAAACTGCATATAATTGAGGTGAAATTCAGTAAAAATGAGATCTTCTTGCATGCAAAAGGCCCTTGCCATTTACTGAGAATCTCATTTTGCCATTAAACACGTGGTTGGCAAATGGGGTCAAGAAGCTCCTCACTGGCCATCTCAACAGATTTTTTCAATTTTCTCACCAGTGGCCCTGTAGTTCAGGGCTGGGAAGATCCAACCAGGGATAGTCTCACAGCTGCTCTTGTTGTCCTTTGGTGATCAAAGTCTTGGGGCAGGGAAGTTTTGTGAGTTGTCATGGTGAGTTGTTCCAACACAGCCTATAGATTATACAATAATATAAAACAAAGAACTAGATGCTGGAGATCTGAAACAAACAAACAGAAACTGCTGGAAAAACTCAGTAGTTCTGACAGCATCTGTGATTTTACATTGTACATACTGTTACTACAGTGCTTCATTGCTGTAGAAGATTAAAATTGCATCCACTGGAAAAATGTCTTTTATTCATCTTGCTACTTAGTCAAAGAAATAACATTTCATATTGCTTATCCCTCAGTTACTGCGTTCACATTTAAATTAATATGACTCATTTTGCATGCCGATATTTTTCTTTCTATGTAAACACTGCAGTTACAAGGACTTCAGAGTCAGCTGGAGTTCACAGAACAGTCCATGGTAGATAAATCCCTGGTGAGCAGACAAGAAGCCAAGATTCGTGAACTTGAAACTAAACTGGAATTTGAGAAGACTCAGGTCAAACGTCTTGAGGTATGCATTTGCAAAGCAGAACCTTAATTGAGATTTGTTTACATTTCATCCTATTGATTAATCAAGCACCTTCACACTACTTGCTTTAAGATTGAAACATTTAGTAACAAAAAATAACATCATGCTCTACCTCATCAGTGCTTATTAAATATTGCACTGAACACATCACCTTGGTAAATGCTGTTTGCAGAGTTTAATTTCCATTTTAACTGCAATTGACAACTCTCAATGTACTCAATGGAGTTTAGAAGGATGTAGGATGATCTGATTGAAACTTGCAGTATTCTGAGACCCCTGGATAGAGTAGAGGTGGAGAAGATGTTTCTATTAATAGGAGAGACTAGGACTGTAGGGCAGAGCCTCACAGTGAACGGATTTCTTTAGAACTAAGATGAGGAGGAATTTTTTCAGCCGAGGGGTGATTAATCTGCGGAACTCATTGGTGCAAAAGACCGTGGAGGCCAAGCCATTGAGGGCATTTAAGACAGGGCCAGATAAGTTCTTGTTTGGTAAGGGGATCAAGGGTTACGGGTTGAGAATCATTTCAGCCATGGTCGAATGTCAGAGCAGATTCAATGGGCCAAATGGCCCAAGTATGTTTCTGTATCTTATGTTTTATTGTATTCAAAAACAATTACAATTGGAAAATGATTTTATTACTAATTTTGTTTCACTGACTATATATGGTGAGAATAGTTCAACCAAGTCAAAGCCAACATGTGCAGGTGGGGATCATTTGATGAAAAATAAAGGAGAGAAATAGAATGTGAATGTGGCAAAATAGATTAGGATTTCAGCAATGAGCTGAAGAAGTTTAGAGGGAAACAAGAAATGGTGTTAATTGTGAAGGCTATTAATTTTGGCAAGGGATTTGATTTGAGATAGGGAACTGAGCCTGGGCTTAGCAGAAAATCTAATTCTAAATTTAAATTTTCTGCTTCTGATCTGAGATGAAAGTTAGGAGGTTGATGGAGCTACAAATGGAGAAATCTAACTGTTTGCATGATGTCTAGTTAAATTAGTTTTGCCTATTCTTGACTAAAGCAAGTTACAGCTCATTTAACCATGATAGAGAATGCATCTTTATTGTCAAATTTGAACAAATATTTTGTGCACCTCTTAACAGTAAAAATGACAAAAGTAATCCCAAGGGTAGTAGAAAAGCCTGGAGCACAAAGTGTGGAGGAACATAAATGAACTTTATGACTCTATCCATTATTTCTGTAGCCACTACCTCCGAAGACCATAGAATG